TTGTCATATGATCAAGAAAGTCCCATGGATTTCAACAAAGACCAACGAAGCGGAAATGTTCTCCTGATTATGTGAAGAGATTATATGGAGAGTTGAGCAACCTCCACCATAGAAGAGTCCCTTCAAAAGAAAGGGATCCTGTTCCAGCAGGCACAAATGGGCTGAGCAACAAAGCAATTCTCCTTTCGGAATATCATGAAATTACTGGATGGCTAACTCCATTCCTGCAAAGAAAATGTTTTGTATCATAATACACTTACGAGTGGTATGTCTCCCAAATAAGATGGATTGATGCATTACCTAAGGAAGCAATAATAGTCAGTCATTGATTTGATCAATAACAGCAGGCAGAAAAATGCTAATGTGCTTTATAATCTTCATTCACATTGATTTCTTTCTTTCTGAATGGGAATCTCTGAATGTATAAATAAAAAAAATCCCCAATAGATGTCCCCCCCATCGTTGCCCAGACAGCTATTAGCCAATAATCAGTCTTTATGATCCTCTAATTACTTAACCTGATAATTAATTCAAAATAATTTTAAAAGTGCTCATTTAAAAAGTAAAGTATTTTCTCCACTCTTGTTTTTCCATCATTTTTAGAAATGCTTCTGTGCATCTAATCTTTCCCCCCTAATTAAAGAAGAATAAAGAGGTTGATTTTATCCCTTGTGTCCTTCCAAAGGACAATTCCAGGTTGACGTTGCCTGTAGGAAGTGACAGGTATCAGTGTGCTGATATTCTTAAATTCTCCGTAAGACTTACTACTTTATATGAATAAATCCATCAGAAGCCATTTTGTGAATGCACCCACTGAATGTTTTGAAAATGCCAATGCAATCCCCAACTCATGATTTGCTCCTAGAGTTTCAATTCTGGAATAAACTCACGAATCACTATGAACCCTTGAGGTTTTCTTTGTCAATAGTACCCACAAAGGAAAGGAAATGTGTTATGGAATATAGTTTTCATGCTTTTCATACCTCCTGAGTAATCAAATTGCTGCTCCATTGTGCAAAAAGTGTTTGCTTGCTTAGAAAAGTTCAAATTCGCGGATAAGGTGGACAACCTGGGGAAATACAATTATTAAAGGAAAACAAACTTCTGACCGTCAAAATGGCTGAAAGGAATTGTGTTGTTGGGGAATTCAAAGCCATTGTCGGTTTGCCATTCGTCCAAACAAGGGTAGCCCTTCCTACCTTTCAATCAAGCAATACAATTTATTTACAGTTCAAAACCAAAGGAATCAAAAGACCAGAAGACCAACAACCATTAAAAGGGAATTTTAAAAAATAAGATTTATTTTTTGGAAAGATGGCAGTTAACAATTAATAGCATGAGATTAGAAAAAAATTAACAATAGCATTAGCACTCTGTAGAGATGACCTGATGAAATAACTCATGGATTAAAAGAGTTAAACCTTTTTTTATGGATCTTAGTTATTAGCTGGGAGCAGCTGAATGAATAGATTTCCTTATCTTCAAATTTTGCTCTAAAACAAAATGCTCCAAACACTGTTTAAAATGCTTCCATGTTCCTAGCTGTTTCCTAGCAATTAGCACTTAGACGTGTATATCACTTCAAAGCACATTACAGCCGTCTCTAAGTGGTGTACAGAATCAGCCTATTGCCCCCAACAAATGAGGTCTTCATTTTACTGACCTTGGAAGGGTAGAAAGCTGAGTCAACCTTGGGTCGGTGAGAATCGAACTGCTGGCAGTTGGCAGAAATTAACCTATACTACTGCATTCTAACCACTGCTCAACCACGGCTCTTCAATAACAACAACAATAACAACAACAAATATAATAATAGTTGGAAGGCACCTTGGAGGTCATCTAATCCAACTATTGTTCAGGCAGGAAACCCTATATCGTTTTAGACAAACGGCTGTCCAGTCTCTCCTTAAAAGCCTCCAGTGTTGGAGTATTCACAGCTTCTAGAGGCAGGTTGTTCCATTGATTTATTGTTCTAACTGTCCGGAGGTTTCTCCTTAGTTCTAGGTTGCTTTTCTCCTTGATTGGTTTCCATCATTGCTTCTTGTCCTGCCTTCAGGCGCTTTGGAGAATGGCTTGACTCCCTCCTCTTTGGGGCAACCCCTGAGATATTGCAACTCTGCTATCAATTCCCCCCTCATCCTTCTCTTCATTAAACTAGACATACCCAATTCCAGCAACCGTTCCTTATATGTTTTAGCCTTCAGTCCCTAACCATCTTTGTTGCTCTTCTCTGTACTCTTTCTAGAGTCTCAACATCTTTTTTACATCGTGGTGACCAAAACTGGATGCAGTATTCCAAGCATGGCCTTACCAGGCATTTTAAAGTGGTATTAACACTTCACATGATCTTGATTCTATACTTATTAAGATTGACTGAAGTCAGATATGAGAAGATTGTTATCATACCGTACTGGAAAAAAATGCTGCTCAATTGAGTTCCATCACAGGGCAGACGACACTACTGGATTAGGTGTTCCCATACTAATGGGGTCCTAGTCCTACTCTGGTCTCAAAAAGGAACATTTTGCAGATAATAAATGACCCCAACACAAACTCTGCCTTTACCGCAGACGTACCTGGTGATAATGGGAAGAATCTCAAATGGAAGCAGTTGGTCTCTTTGGGAATCTAAGGATGAGATCTTTTTCCAGTGAATCCCGTTACTTGGCACTTGATGCAGTTACAGTCAGAAAGAGGAACTGAGCTGGACCCAGCTGCAAACTTTCTGAGAGAAATAAGAATAACTTGTCTGATGTTCTTCTCTGAATTTTGCAACTTTGCAGAAAGCATGGAAAAGAAGCAGTTAGTGATATAGTCATATCTTAAAGAAGAATCAACCAAAATCTACCAGCCTGAGATGCAGATTAACATGGATTTCAAATTCCTGGAAACCAACCATTTAAACATCTTATGGCAGCCATTGTTAATTGTGACAAAAATTTATATTTATTATTTGTTAAGTTTGTATGCTGCCTTTATCTCTATTAAGGTGACTCTGAGTGGCTTGTTAAGCTAATGTACAAGAAACAATGCAGGCTTCCACCATTTTGACCGTTTAGTCCTGTGTGCCAATCTTACTGGTGAGGATATATATGTAACCAAATGCAGTCTTTCTTCTGGTTGGTTCAACCAAACAGACAAAATCTGGAAGGACTTTTTTGTGTGTGTGTCTCGAAAGAGAAGATTCCTGAAGGGAGCAGTAGGTCCCCATGGCCTATGGGGAAGTTACTGGTGGGTCTCCTTCTTTCTACTTTCCTTTGACATTCTCGTAAAAAAATGTGGTGTCAGGAGCAAGGAACCAAGAAAAACACAGAGGTTTACTCTGATCAGTTTCTTTATTGTTGCTCATCCTTTGACAGAAATCTTGCCAGACTAGAGCACAATATGCATATCTATTTTACATACTCTGTTGAAGGCTGCAGGAGGGTCCACCCTGTGCCTCTTCCTTCATTCCAAGGATTCTTCGTCGATGTGCCTATTACTCCTTGGTAAAGACCTCCTCCCTCCTGCAATAATGTACATCTCACCCCATATGATAAATCCGTAATAACTTCCCCTTATCCCATTAACCATAATGGATGAATATTAAAATGCATGAAAATGTAGGAGAAGTATCAGTAAAGCTGGTGGAGAGTGAGAGTTAAGTAAATAATCAGCCTACAGTTGTTATGTCCCCCAAATGAGCCATATTCAGCCCACCTTGAATTCCATTGATGCTTATCTGGCTCTGATTTGGATTGGAACTTTAGGTGAGAAGATTCTTGTTTATAAGCTTGTGCAATCACTGCCTTACACCAGGGCTTGGACTCTGACTCTGAAGAAACTGCAACAGATGAACCCCAGGAGGCACCAAGCCAGGAAGAACCAGAAGCTTATTAGAAATAGGCACTATCAGAACCGCTTTGAGATCAGATAGTGAAATAGGGCCTCCAAACCCTGGGCCTCCGGGATTAGAGCAGAGAGCAAAGCCAAGAAGCTCAGTGAGGCTCCTTGCCAAGCAGAGATCAACTTAATAGAAAGAAGTGGCTGCAATCTGATTTAAGCGAGAGTACTGACCAGTCGAGTTTTTTGTGTTGGAAACAACTATTCCATGTCCTGCCCTGCTGCGTTGCTCTAGTGTTCTAGAATTGCAGTAGCAAGTCACAGTTATAATTAAATGAGGCACCATGTGACTCCTTGTTCAACAACAAGAATCCCAGCACTTCGAGTTGCAATTGTTAAATGATCGCTCAAGTCATTAAATTGAGAGAGTCCCAGGTAAGAATCATTCACCCCACCTATCTCACTTCCATCTATGTCAGTGGTTCTCAACCTGTGGGTTGGGACCCCATTTGAGTTTGAACAGCCATTTCACGGGGATCACCAAACAACACCGTCTGCCATTTTTCCCCCTTTTCCTTAGCTGTGCTTCCTTAGCTGTGCTTCCTTAGTTGTGCTTCCTTAGCTTTTGAAAGCCAATAGAATAGACTCTCTTGAATAGAGTCTAATTCTATTGGCTTTCAAAAGGCAATAGGAATTGTCGAGGCTGTCTCTGTCCTGCTGAACCCGCCAAAAGTCCCATTCTGCAAATGGTGCTGCAAGTTGTCTGAGTGAAGGCGAGCTGACTGGAAATTTCCACCCCTCCCTGCTGAGCAACTACTAAAAATGTAAGTAAAAGAGGGCCGGGGTGGGAGGTGGGTGCAGGGAGGGTTGCTGGCACGCATGGGGCCCGGTGGATGCCTTACCTCCCTTGGGCTGGGCCAGCTGGTGGCCCACCCGGTGGTCAGCTTGCGCCATCTCTGCCGCTTGCCAGCTACGCCTCTGCCGCTTGCCAGCTACACCCTACGCATGGGGCAGCACCACGCATGCGCGGTGCTCCTGGGCAGGGAAAGTCCTTGACTTACAATCAGTTGGGTAGTCCTCGATTTACGATCGGTTGGGGATCGCAGCATTAAAAAGGTTGAGAACCACTGATCTATGTTCTTTTGGACACATTGCACAATGACAGTAGCAGGGGCAGCTCCAGGTTTCACTACCACACAGGTGACCTTCAGCACCAAGAGCTGTTTTCAAGATGGCAATCCTTTCCTTCTGCATGTAGACTTCAGAAAAGAAAATAATTCTTGAAGAAAACAACAAGCTTCTAAGAATAGTTTCTTTATTGCTGTTTGTCAATAGACAGGAATCTTGCCAGAGTAAAGCATACTCAGCATATCTATCAGATAAATCCTAAGAAGGTTTTAGAGAGGATCCCTTCTGAGCCTATTTCTGCATATCAATGACTCAAAACTGATTTGCCTGTTAGCTCCTTGAGAAAGAGGCCTTCCCTCCTGCGAACATGTCTCCAATTCTGTAACACAAATCAAATGAAATATTTATTTTGGTCATAGACCAGCATAAAAAGGGTAGAATGCAAACAAAAGCTGAAAAATTATTTCTATTATTTCTATTTCTAGTTCTGCCTAGCTACCTACATCTCTATCTCTCCCTCATCTATCATCATTATATCATCACCTCTATCTATCTATCTATCTATCTATCTATCTATCTATCTATCTATCTATCTATCTATCTATCTATCTATCTAATATCTATCATCTATACAAATACAAATACGCAAACACCCATACTCAAACCTTTATAAAACCCTCTGTTCCAAAAGTTGCCATAAATACAGAATTACAGAATACAAACCCAGATGAGGTTTGGGAATGAGAAGGAAGGTCTACTAAGGTCCTTCTATTCTAGAACTTTGCCAGGTGAGGTTGTTGCCCCCAAAAATAAGGACTTGAAATGGCTATAAAAGATTGGCAGGAAGGGAGTCTTACAATGAAAGAAGTGATATATCTTTAGTCAAGAAAGAAAGCCACTAAGTAATGATTATTCATAATGAAATCATATTTTAAAATATAATTGAATTATATTATGTCTGAAATTTTTAAGGATCAAAAATGACGCATTTCATTTCAAGAAACCGTAACCTCTCTGGCAGATTTTTCCCTTATCTTTCATCTCCATCATATTTATATAAATGTGCATGTCACAAAGAAAGATGCGTAAGATAAATTACACATTTTTAAAAATTCCTTCAGTAAGACTTATTCCCAACAGTAATAATAAGAAATAAAAAGGAACTATATCAACTAAAACATTTCCGGTAAACAAGTGCTACAGATTGTAAAATACAGACACAGCAATACTTCCTGCTTCCATATCTTTGTTTTTAAGCACTTTGCTCAATAAATTGTATCCATTCTGTATATTCTTAAGGAAATCATATTTTATGTCCCAAATAATCCTGTATCTTCAAATATTTTATATGCAGTATTTATGACCCTTCACAACTGGTCTTCCTTCATGGTTTGCTGCTCTTCTGGGCTGCCCTTCTCATCCTTGAAGACTCTTTGCAGAGCAACCTTGTATGATGCTCTGGGCTGGTCCTTTCCTCTCTGCTTCCTCCCAATGAAAAAATAAAGGAGAGGGTTGATGCTGCTGTTGAGAGAGGCGCATCCTATCCCCATGGTCATGAGGAGGAGATTATAGGTATCAAAATATTCAATGACATAAAAGACATTCATTGGGAGAGAAAAGAGGAGGAAGAAAAGAAGAGCTAGAAAAATGGTGGTGAGCAACTTTCTTTGACTGCGTTGCGATTTAGACCTCATGTGAATCCAGAGAGTCACAGTGGACACAACCATGAGAGGTGTACAAAGTAAACCATTCACAATCAACTGGTATAACAAAGGTGAACTTCCAAAAGCCTTGGTCTGGTGGAGAAGGAAGTGCACTGCAGAGAGCAGGAAGGAGAGGATCCATATGAGGCCACAAACCAGGGTGGACAGATATGGGGGACGATGGCAGCGATGCCAGAGTGGGAAGAGGACAGCCACACACCTGTCCAGGCTGATGGCCGTCAGCAGAAACTGGCTAGCAGAATAGGTGAAGAAAAAGAGCTCAAAAAATAACAAGAAAAAGGTATCAACCACATATGTCCTTTGATTCAGAGTTAAGACGGTGACAAATATTTCTGTCATAATGAGGGATTATCGAACAGTTGATCATAAGGAAAAGGAAGGAATTCTTGTATTGCAGAAATATTAGGAGCAATTAAGGTCTCCTGATCTATCCTAATAACAAAAAGAGACAGAAATAGAATCAGTCCTTCTTAGAGAAATAAATACATATATATATAGTACATACATACACCCATACAAAGACACATATATACACACAGACACACAAACACACACACAGAAACATTTTCTTAACTTACACATATCAAGAGATATCTGCTTTTGGACCGCCTGATGGCAATTACATCCCTAAAATTAAAGTTTCTTGCAAGGCTAGCAGAATAGGTGAAGAAAAACAACTCAAAAAGTAGGAAGAAAATGGTATCAACGTGTGTTCTTTGACTCAGAATTAAGGCTGTCGAAAATATAGCTGCCATAATGAGGGATGCGAGGACCCCAAAATCAGCAATGGAGAGATTCAGGATATAAGTGGTGAAAGAATTCCTCTTAATGGAAAAGGCCAGGAGATAAATGGTCTTTCCATTTCCCACCAGGCCTAAAATGCAAATAAGGGCAATGAACCCACTGATAAGATTTCGTGTTAAATTATCAAAGATCTGAGCATTAGGTGAAGAAAAAGTTTCTGGCATTTCAGAAATATTTAGAGCAATTTTAGTAGTATTGGAAGGAATGTTGGTCAATTCAGAACCACTCCCAGAAATTTCAGCAATATTAATCATCCTAATAACAAAAAGAGACAGAAAGAGAATCAGTCCTTGTTAGAGAAATACATACTTATATACTGTACATACATACATACACACACAAACGCACATACACACACAAATGCACATACACACACATGTACATTTTCACACACACAAACACACAGGCAGACACACAAACACATGCACAGACACACATTTTCTTACTTACACATATCAAGACATATCTCCTTTTCGGCCGCCTGATGGCAATTACATCCCTAAAATTAAAGTTTCTTGCAAGGTTGGAGAATTGCTACACTCAATCGTGACCCAAGCTTCTATGCAAAATCCTTCAAAGTCCATTTCAGGACAACTGGAGCCAATTTCCTTTATTAGCCATTGTGGCTGAGGGCAGAGTAGGGTTACCTGATATTTGAACAGGCTTGTTTGCGTGACCCCGTTTCTGGCAAACTGTGACCACGGACCAGGCATTGGGGACCCTTGCTTTAGAGAGTAAGGGATGACAAGTGTGCAAACAGGCACACAATGTGAAATGCCCTTTGAGAGGAACATGCTAGTACTAGCAGTTAGCTTTCAGTGTGTAATTGATTAAGATCTTGTCAATTTCAGGTCAGAGTTTGTTAACTTTAATAACTATACTTAGCATTTATTAGACAAAAGGTGTTTACTTTGGTACTCAAAACTCAAGACAATTTTAAACTCCATCTGTCGGTTGGAGGAAAGGAGGGCAACAAGTAGCACATGTCCTCCTTACGACAGATGTCTACTGACTGTAGGTTAGAGAAAGTTATGATCAAAGGTTCTGGAGATCGTGAGTTGATGGCCTTTTTCCCAAGCAAAGGAAAAAGGATGTGGGCGTATAGGTGAGATTTGTCATATGATCAAGAAAGTCCCATGGATTTCAACACAGACCAACAAAGCGGAAATGTTCTCCTGATTATGTGAAGAGATTATATGGAGAGTTGAGCAACCTCCACCATAGAAGATTCCCTTCAAAAGAAAGGGATCCTGTTCCAGCAGGCACAAATGGGCTGAGCAACAAAGCAATTCTCCTTTCGGAATATCATGAAATTACTGGATGGCTAACTCCATTCCTGCAAAGAAAATGTTTTGTATCATAATACACTTACGAGTGGTATGTCTCCCAAATAAGATGGATTGATGCATTACCTAAGGAAGCAATAATAGTCAGTCATTGATTTGATCAATAACAGCAGGCAGAAAAATGCTAATGTGCTTTATAATCTTCATTCACATTGATTTCTTTCTTTCTGAATGGGAATCTCTGAATGTATAAATAAAAAAAATCCCCAATAGATGTCCCCCCCATCGTTGCCCAGACAGCTATTAGCCAATAATCAGTCTTTATGATCCTCTAATTACTTAACCTGATAATTAATTCAAAATAATTTTAAAAGTGCTCATTTAAAAAGTAAAGTATTTTCTCCACTCTTGTTTTTCCATCATTTTTAGAAATGCTTCTGTGCATCTAATCTTTCCCCCCTAATTAAAGAAGAACAAAGAGGTTGATTTTATCCCTTGTGTCCTTCCAAAGGACAATTCCAGGTTGACGTTGCCTGTAGGAAGTGACAGGTATCAGTGTGCTGATATTCTTAAATTCTCCGTAAGACTTACTACTTTATATGAATAAATCCATCAGAAGCCATTTTGTGAATGCACCCACTGAATGTTTTCAAAATGCCAATGCAATCCCCAACTCATGATTTGCTCCTAGAGTTTCAATTCTGGAATAAACTCACGAATCACTATGAACCCTTGAGGTTTTCTTTGTCAATAGTACCCACAAAGGAAAGGAAATGTGTTATGGAATATAGTTTTCATGCTTTTCATACCTCCTGAGTAATCAAATTGCTGCTCCATTGTGCAAAAAGTGTTTGCTTGCTTAGAAAAGTTCAAATTCGCGGATAAGGTGGACAACCTGGGGAAATACAATTATTAAAGGAAAACAAACTTCTGACCGTCAAAATGGCTGAAAGGAATTGTGTTGTTGGGGAATTCAAAGCCATTGTCGGTTTGCCATTCGTCCAAACAAGGGTAGCCCTTCCTATCTTTCAATCAAGCAATACAATTTATTTACAGTTCAAAACCAAAGGAATCAAAAGACCAGAAGACCAACAACCATTAAAAGGGAATTTTAAAAAATAAGATTTATTTTTTGGAAAGATGGCAGTTAACAATTAATAGCATGAGATTAGAAAAAAATTAACAATAGCAATAGCACTCTGTAGAGATGACCTGATGAAATAACTCATGGATTAAAAGAGTTAAACCTTTTTTTATGGATCTTAGTTATTAGCTGGGAGCAGCTGAATGAATAGATTTCCTTATCTTCAAATTTTGCTCTAAAACAAAATGCTCCAAACACTGTTTAAAATGCTTCCATGTTCCTAGCTGTTTCCTAGCAATTAGCACTTAGACGTGTATATCACTTCAAAGCACATTACAGCCGTCTCTAAGTGGTGTACAGAATCAGCCTATTGCCCCCAACAAATGAGGTCTTCATTTTACTGACCTTGGAAGGGTAGAAAGCTGAGTCAACCTTGGGTCGGTGAGAATCGAACTGCTGGCAGTCGGCAGAAATTAACCTATACTACTGCATTCTAACCACTGCTCCACCACGGCTCTTCAATAACAACAACAATAACAACAACAAATATAATAATAGTTGGAAGGCACCTTGGAGGTCATCTAATCCAACTATTGTTCAGGCAGGAAACCCTATATCGTTTTAGACAAATGGCTGTCCAGTCTCTCCTTAAAAGCCTCCAATGTTGGAGTATTCACAGCTTCTAGAGGCAGGTTGTTCCATTGATTTATTGTTCTAACTGTCCGGAGGTTTCTCCTTAGTTCTAGGTTGCTTTTCTCCTTGATTGGTTTCCATCATTGCTTCTTGTCCTGCCTTCAGGCGCTTTGGAGAATGGCTTGACTCCCTCCTCTTTGGGGCAGCCCCTGAGATATTGCAACTCTGCTATCAATTCCCCCCTCATCCTTCTCTTCATTAAACTAGACATACCCAATTCCAGCAACCGTTCCTTATATGTTTTAGCCTTCAGTCCCTAACCATCTTTGTTGCTCTTCTCTGTACTCTTTCTAGAGTCTCAACATCTTTTTTACATCGTGGTGACCAAAACTGGATGCAGTATTCCAAGCATGGCCTTACCAGGCATTTTAAAGTGGTATTAACACTTCACATGATCTTGATTCTATACTTATTAAGATTGACTGAAGTCAGATATGAGAAGATTGTTATCATACCGTACTGGAAAAAAATGCTGCTCAATTGAGTTCCATCACAGGGCAGACGACACTACTGGATTAGGTGTTCCCATACTAATGGGGTCCTAGTCCTACTCTGGTCTCAAAAAGGAACATTTTGCAGATAATAAATGACCCCAACACAAACTCTGCCTTTACCGCAGACGTACCTGGTGATACTGGGAAGAATCTCAAATGGAAGCAGTTGGTCTCTTTGGGAATCTAAGGATGAGATCTTTTTCCAGTGAATCCCGTTACTTGGCACTTGATGCAGTTACAGTCAGAAAGAGGAACTGAGCTGGACCCAGCTGCAAACTTTCTGAGAGAAATAAGAATAACTTGTCTGATGTTCTTCTCTGAATTTTGCAACTTTGCAGAAAGCATGGAAAAGAAGCAGTTAGTGATATAGTCATATCTTAAAGAAGAATCAACCAAAATCTACCAGCCTGAGATGCAGATTAACATGGATTTCAAATTCCTGGAAACCAGACATTTAAAGGAAGAACATCTTATGGCAGCCATTGTTAATTGTGACAAAAAATTATATTTATTATTTGTTAAGTTTGTATGCTGCCTTTATCTCTATTAAGGTGACTCTGAGTGGCTTGTTAAGCTAATGTACAAGAAACAATGCAGGCTTCCACCATTTTGACCGTTTAGTCCTGTGTGCCAATCTTACTGGTGAGGATATATATGTAACCAAATGCAGTCTTTCTTCTGGTTGGTTCAACCAAACAGACAAAATCTGGAAGGACTTTTTTGTGTGTGTGTCTCGAAAGAGAAGATTCCTGAAGGGAGCAGTAGGTCCCCATGGCCTATGGGGAAGTTACTGGTGGGTCTCCTTCTTTCTACTTTCCTTTGACATTCTCGTAAAAAAATGTGGTGTCAGGAGCAAGGAACCAAGAAAGACACAGAGGTTTACTCAGATTAGTTTCTTTATTGTTGCTCATCCTTTGACAGAAATCTTGCCAGACTAGAGCACAATATGCATATCTATTTTACATACTCTGTTGAAGGCTGCAGGAGGGTCCACCCTGTGCCTCTTCCTTCATTCCAAGGATTCTTCGTCGATGTGCCTATTACTCCTTGGTAAAGACCTCCTCCCTCCTGCAATAATGTACATCTCACCCCATATGATAAATCCGTAATAACTTTCCCTTATCCCATTAACTATAATGGATGAATATTAAAATGCATGAAAATGTAGGAGAAGTATCAGTAAAGCTGGTGGAGAGGGAGAGTTAAGTAAATAATCAGCCTACAGTTGTTATGTCCCCAAAATGATCCATATTCAGCCCACCTTGAATTCCATTGATGCTTATCTGGCTCTGATTTGGATTGGAACTTTAGGTGACAAGATTCTTGTTTATAAGCTTGAGCAATCACTGCCTTACACCAGGGGTTGGACTCTGACTCTGAAGAAACTGCAACAGATGAACCCCAGGAGGCACCAAGCCAGGAAGAACCAGAAGCTTATTAGAAATAGGCACTATCAGAACCGCTTTGAGATCAGATAGTGAAATAGGGCCTCCAAACCCTGGGCCTCCGGGATTAGAGCAGAGAGCAAAGCAAAGAAGCTCAGTGAGGCTCCTTGCCAAGCAGAGATCAACTTAATAGAAAGAAGTGGCTGCAATCTGATTTAAGCGAGAGTGCTGACCAGTTGAGTTTTTTGTGTTGGAAACAACTATTCCATGTCCTGCCCTGCTGCGTTGCTCTAGTGTTCTAGAATTGCAGTAGCAAGTCACAGTTATAATTAAATGAGGCACCAAGTGACTCCTTGTTCAACAACAAGAATCCCAGCACTTCGAGTTGCAATTGTTAAATGATCACTCAAGTCATTGAATTGAGGGAGTCCCAGGTAAGAATCATTCACCCCACCCATCTCACTTCCATCTATGTTCTTTTGGACACATTGCACAATGACAGTAGCAGGGGCAGCTCCAGGTTCCACTACCACACAGGTGACCTTCAGCACCAAGGGCTGTTTTCAAGATGGCAATCCTTTCCTTCTGCATGTAGACTTCAGAAAAGAAAACAATTCTTGAAGAACACAACAAGCTTCTAAGAATAGTTTCTTTATTGCTGTTTGTCAATAGACAGGAATCTTGCCAGAGTAAAGCACACTCAGCATATCTATCAGATAAATCCTAAGAAGGTTTTAGAGAGGATCCCTTCTCAATCACTTTATGCATATCAATGACTCAAAACTGATTTGCCTGTTAGCTCCTTGAGAAAGAGGCCTTCCCTCCTGCAAACATGTCTCCAATTCTATAACACAAATCAAATGAAATCTTTATTTTGGTCATAGACCAGCATAAAAAGAGTAGAATGCAAACAAAAGCTGAAAAAATATTTTTATTATTTCTATTTCTAGTTCATCCATGCTACCTACATCTCTATCTCTCCCTCATCTATCATCATTATATCATGACCTCTATCTATCTGTCTGTCTTTCTGTCTGTCTATCTATCTATCTATCTATGTATCTATCTATCTATCTATCTATCTATCTATCTATCTATCTATCTATCTATCTATCTATCTATCTATCTAATATCTATCATCTATACAAATACACAAACACCCATACTCAAACCTTTATAAAATCCTGTGTTCCAAAAGTAGCCTTATATACAGAATTACAGAATACAAACCCAGATGAGGTTTGGGAATGAGAAGGAAGGTCTACTAAGGTCCTTCTATTCTAGAACTTTGCCAGGTGAGGTTGTTGCCACCTACAAATAAGGACTTGAAATTGCTATAAAAGATTGGCAGGAAGGGAGTCTTACAATGAAAGAAGCAATATATCTTTAGTCAAGAAAGAAAGCCACTAAGTAATGATTATTCATAATGAAATCTTATTTTAAAATATAATTGAATTATATTATGTCTGAAATTTTTCAGGATCAAAAATGACACATTTCATTTCAAGAAACCGTAACCTCTCTGGCAGATTTTTCCCTTATCTTTCATCTCCATTATATTTATGTAAATGTGCATGTCACAAAGAAAGATGCGTAAGATAAATTACACATTTTAAAAAATTCCTTCAGTAAGACTTATTCCCAACAGTAATTATAATGAAATAAAAAGGAACTTTATCAACTAAAACTTTTCCGGTAACCAAATGCTTCAATTGAAAAATACAGACACAGCAATACTTCCTGCTTCCATATCTTTCTTTTTAAGCACTTTGCTCAGTAAATTGTATCCATTCTGTATATTCTTAAGGAAAGCATGTTTTATGTCCCAAATAATCCTGTATCTTCAAATATTTTATATGCAATATTTATGACCCTTCACAACTGGTCTTCCTTCATGGTTTGCTGCTCTTCTGGGCTGCCCTTCTCATCCTTGAAGACTCTTTGCAGAGCAACCTTGTATGATGCTCTGGGCTGGTCCTTTCCTCTCTGCTTCCTCCCAATGAAAAAATAAAGGAGAGGGTTGATGCTGCTGTTGAGAGAGGCGCATCCTATCCCAATGGTCATGAGGAGGAGATTATAGGTATCAAAATAATGAATGACATAAAAGACATTCATTGGGAGAGAAAAGAGGAGGAAGAAAAGAAGAGCTAGAAAAATGGTGGTGAGCAACTTTCTTTGACTGCGTTGCGATTTAGACCTCATGTGAATCCAGAGAGTCACAGTGGAGACAACCATGAGAGGTGTACAAAGTAAACCATTCACAATCAACTGGTATAACAAAGGTGAACTTCCAAAAGTCTTGGTCTGGTGGAGAAGGAAGTGCACCACAGAGATTAGGAAGGAGAGGATCCAGATGAGGCCACAAACCAGGGTGGACAGATATGGAGGACGATGGCAGCGATGCCAGAGTGGGAAGAGGACCGCCACACACCTGTCCAGGCTGATGGCCGTCAGCAGAAACTGGCTAGCAGAATAGGTGAAGAAAAAGAGCTCAAAAAATAACAAGAAAAAGGTATCAACCACATATGTTCTTTGATTCAGAGTTAAGACGATCACAAATATTTCTGTCATAATGAGGGATGCGAGGACCCCAAAATCAGCCATGGAGAGATTCAGAATGAAAGTGGTGAAAGAATTCCTCTTAATGGAAAAGGCCAGGAGGTAAATGGTCCTTCCATTTCCCACCAGGCCTAAAATGCAAATAAGGACAATGAACCCATCGATAAGATTTCGTGTTAAATTATCGAACAGTTGATCATTAGGAAAAGGAAGGAATTCTTGTACTGTAGAAATATTTGGAGCAATTAAGGTCTCCTGACCTATCCTAATAACAAAAAGAGACAGAAAGAGAATCAGTCCTTGTTAGAGAAATAAATACACATATATAGTACATACATACACCCATACAAACACACATATATACACACAGATACACAAACACACACACACACAAACACACGCACACAAACATTTTCTTAACTTACACATATCAAGAGATATCTGCTTTTGGACCGCCTGATGGTAATTACTTCCCTAAAATTAAAGTTTCTTGCAAGGTGGAGAATTGCTACAATCAATTGTGATCCAAGTTTCTATGCAAAATCCCTCAAAGTCTATTTCAGGACAACTGACATCAATTCGCTTTATTAGCCATTGTGGCTGAGCGCAGAGTAGGGTTACCTGGTATTTGAACAGGTAGAAGGGCAACACAAACAATTGGAAAGGAGAAGAAATGTAGGGGGAAGATGCACCAATCATTTAATATTTACATTCTTTAGAATAACGGCCCCAACCTTCTGGGCACCAGGGGTTTTTCTGTGGACTGGGGGGGGGGGAGTGGTTTTGTGCGTTGCCTGCATCCTGCAGATGGGTCTTCGCTTGTTTGCGCAGCCCAGTTTCTGGCAAGCTGTGGCTACGGACCAGACGTTGGGGACCCCTGCTTTACAGAGTAATGGATGACAAGTGTGTAAACAGGCACACAATGTGAAATGCACTTTGAGAGGAACATGCTAGTACTAGCAGTTAGCTGTCAGTGTGTAATTGATTAAGATCTTGTCAGTTTCAGTCAAAGTTTGTTAACTCCAATAACTATAGTTAGCATTTATTAGAGAAAAGCTGTTTACTTCGGTACTCAAAAAGTCAGACAATTTTAAACTCCATCTGTCGGTTGGAGGAAACGAGGGCAACAAGTAGCACATGTCCTCCTTATGACAGATGTCTACTGACTGTAGGTTAGAGAAAGTTATGATCGTGAGTTGATGGCCTTTTTCCCAAGCAAAGGAAAAAGGATGTGGGCCCATAGGTGAGATTTGTCATATGATCAAGAAAGTCCCATGGATTTCAACAAAGACCAACGAAGCGGAAATGTTCTCCTGATTACGTGAAGAGATTATATGGAGAGTTGAGCAACCTCCACCATAGAAGATTCCCTTCAAAAGAAAGGGATCCTTTCCCAGCAGGCACAAATGGACTGAGCAACAAAGCAATTCTCCTTTTGGAATATCATGAAACAACTGGATGGCTAACTCCATTCCTGCAAAGAAAATGTTTTGTATCATAATACCCTTACCAGTGGTATGTTTCCCAAATATCAGAGTAGTCATATATATCTTGGATTGATGCATTACCTATATCATATTCATATATATCTTGGATTGACACATTACCTAAGGAAGCAATAATAGTCAGTCATTAATTTGATCAATAACAGCAGGCAGAAAAATGCTAATGTGCTTTACAAACTTCATCCACATTGATTTCTTTCTTTCTGAATGGGAATCTCCGAATGTATAAATAAAATCATCCCCAATAGATGCCCCCCCATCGTTGCCCAGATAGCTATTAGCCAATAACCAGTCTTTGTGATCCTCTAATTACTTAACCTGATAATTAATTCAAAATAATTTTAAAAGTGCTCATTTTAAAAAGAAAAGTATTTTCCCCACTCTTGTTTTTCCATCATTTTTAGAAATGCTTCTGTGCGTCTAATCCCCGCCCCCCAATTAAACACGAAAAAAGAGGTTCATTTCGTCCCTTGTGTCATTCCAAAGGACAATTCCAGGTTGACGTTGCCTGTAGGAAGTGACAGGTATCAGTGTGTTGATATTCTTAAATTCTCCGTAAGGCTTACTACTGTATAGGAATAATTCCATCAGAAGCCATTTTGTGAATGCACCCACTGAACGTTTTCAAAATGCCAATGCAATCCCCAACTCATGATTTGCTCCTAGAGTTTCAATTCTGGAATAAACTGACGAATCAATATGAACCCTTGAGGTTCTCGTTATCAATAGTACCCACAAAGGAAAGTAAATGTGTTATGGAATATAGTTTTCATGCTGTTCATACCTCCTGAGTAATCAAATTGCTGCTCCATTGTGCAAAAAGTGTTTGCTTGCTTAGAAAAGTTCAACTTCGTGGATAAGGTGGACAACCTGGGGAAATACAATTATTAAAAGAAAAGAAACGTCTGACCCTCAAAATGGCTTAAAGGAATTGTGTTCTTGGGGACTTCAAAGCCATTGTCGGTTTGCCATTCGCCCAAAACAAGGATAGCCCTTCCTACCTTTCAATCAAGCAATACAATTTATTTACAGTTCAAAACCAAAGGAATCAAAAGACCAGAAGACCAACAACCATTAAAAGGGAATTTTAAAAAATAAGATTTTTTTTCCGGAAAGATAGCAGTTAACAATTAATAGCATGATTTTAGAAAAAAAATTAACAATAGCAATAGCACTCTGTAGAGATGACCTGATGAAATAACTCATGGATTAAAAGAGTTAAACCTTTTTTTATGGATCTTGCTTATTAGCTGGGAGCAGCTGAATAAACAGATTTCCTTATCTTCAAATTTTGCTCTAAAACAAAATGCTCCAAACATTGTTTAAAATCCTTCGATGTTCCTAGCTGTTTTATAGCAATTAACACTTAGACGTGTACACTACTTCATAGCACTTTACAGCCGTCTCTAAGTGGTGTACAGAATCAGCCTATTGCCCCCAACACATGAGGTCTTCATTTTACTGACCTTGGAAGGATAGAAAGCTGAGTCAACCTTGGGTCGGTGAGAATCGAACTGCTGGCAGTTGGCAGAATTAATCTATACTACTGCATTCTAACCACTGCTCCACCACGGCTCTTCAATAACAACCACAACAACAATAATAATACTTGGAAGGCACCTTGGAGGTCATCTAATCCAACCATTGTTCAGGCAGGAAACCCTATTTCATTTTAGACAAATGGCTGTCCAGTCTCTCCTTAAAAGCCTCCAGTATTGGAGCATTCACAGCTTCTAGAGGCAGGTTGTTCCATTGATTTATTGTTCTAACTGTCCGGAGGTTTCTCCTTAGTTCTAGGTTGCTACTCTCATTGATTGGTTTCCATCCTTGCTTCTTGTCCTGCCTTCAGGCGCTTTGGAGAATGGCTTGACTCCCTCTTCTTTGGGGCAGCCCCTGAGATATTGGAACTCTACTATCAATTCCCCCCTCATGCTTCTCTTCATTAAACTAGACATACCCAATTCCAGCAACCGTTCCTTATATGTTTTAGCCTTCAGTCCCCTAATCATCTTTGTTGCTCTTCTCTGTACTCTTTCTAGAGTCTCAACATCTTTTTTTACATCGTGGTGACCAAAACTGGATGCCGTATTCCAAGTGTGGCCTTACCAAGGCATTGTAAAGTGGTATTAACACTTCAAATGATCTTGATTCTATACTAATTAAGATTAACTGAAGTCATATATGAGAAGATTGTTATCATACCTTACTGAAAAAAAATGCTGCTCAATTGAGTTCCATTATGGGGCAGAAGACACTACTGGATTAGCTGATCCCATACTAATGGGCTCCTAGTCCTACTCTGGTCTCAAAAAGGAACATTTTGCAGATAATAAATGACCCCAACACAAACTCTGCCTTTACTGCAGACGTACCTGGTGATAATGGTCTGGATGGTCTCTTTGGGGATCTAAGGATGAGATCTTTTTCCAGTGAATCCTGTTAGTTGGCAATTGATGCAGTTACAGTCAGAAAGAGGAACTGAGCTGGACCCAGCTGCAAACTTTCTGAGAGAAATAAGAATAAGTTGTCTGATGTTCTTCTCTGAATATCGCAACTTTGCAGAAAGGATGGCAAAGAAGCAGTTAGTGATATAGTCATATCTTAAAGAAGAATCAACCAAAATGTACCAGCCTGAGATGCAGATTAACATGGATTTCAAATTCCTGGAAACCAACCACTTAAAGGAAGAACATCTTATGGCAGCCTTTGTTAATTGTGACAACAATTTATATTTATTATTTGTTAAGTTTGTATGCTGCCTATATCTCCATTAAGGTGACTCTGAGTGGCTTGTTAAGCTAATGTACCAAGAAACAATGTAGGCTTCCACCATTTTGACCATTTAGTCCTGTCTGCCAATCTTACTGGTGAGGATATATATGTAACCAAATGCAGTCTTTATTCTGGTTGGTTCAACCAAACAGACAAAACTTGGAAGGACTTTTTTGTGTGTGTGTCTGGAAGGAGAAGATTCCTGAAGGGAGCAGTAGGTTCTCATGGCCTATGGAGAAGATACTGGTGGGTCTCCTTCTTTCTACTTTCCTTTGAAATTCTCTTAAAAACATGGTGGTGTCAGGAACAAGGAACCAAGAAAGACACAGAGGTTTACTCTGATCAGTTTCTTTATTGTTGCTCACCCATTGACAGGAATCTTGCCAGACTAGAGCACAATATGCATATCTATTTTATATACTCTGTGAAAGGCTGCAGGAGGGTCCACCCTGTGCCTCTTCCTTCATTCCAAGGATTCTTGGTCAATGTGCCTTTTACTCCTTGGCAAAAAACCCTTCCCTCCTGCGATAATGTACATCCCACCCCATATGGTAAATCTGTAATAACTTTCCCTTATCCCATTAACCATAATGGATGAATATTAAAATGCATGAAAATGTAGGAGAAGTATCAGTAAAGCTGGTGGAGAGTGAGAGTTAAGTAAATAATCAGCCTAGAGTTGTTATGTCCCCAAAATGATCCATATTCAGCCCACCTTGAATTCCATTGATGCTTATCTGGCTCTGATTTGGATTGGAACTTTAGGTGAGAAGATTCTTGTTTATAAGCTTGTGCAATCACTGCCTTACACCAGGGGTTTGACTCTGACTCTGAAGAAACTGCAACAGATGAACCCCAGGAGGCACCAAGCCAGGAAGAACCAGAAGCTTATTAGAAATAGGCACTATCAGAACAGCTTTGAGTTCAGATAGTGAAATAGGGCCTCCAAACCCTGGGCCTCCGGGATTAGAGCAGAGAGCAAAGCAAAGAAGCTCAGTGAGGCTCCTTGCCAAGCAGAGATCAACTTAATTGAAACAAGTTGCTGCAATCTAATTTAAGCGAGAGTGCTGACCAGTTGAGTTTTTGTGTTGGAAACAACTATTTCATGTCCTGCCCTGGTGCGTTGCTCTAGTGTTCTAGAATTGCAGTAGCAAGTCACAGTTATAATTAAATGACGCACCAAGTGACTCCTTGTTCAACAACAAGAATCCCAGCACTTCGAGTTGCAATTGTTAAATGATCGCTCAAGTCATTAAATTGAGGGAGTCCCAGGTAAGAATCATTCACCCCACCCATCTCACTTCCATCTATGTTCTTTTGGACACATTGCACAATGACAGTAGCAGGGGCAGCTCCAGGTTCCACTACCACACAGGTGACCTTCAGCACCAAGGGCTGTTTTCAAGATGGCAATCCTTTCCTTCTGCATGTAGACTTCAGAAAAGAAAACAATTCTTGAAGAACACAACAAGCTTCTAAGAATAGTTTCTTTATTGCTGTTTGTCAATAGACAGGAATCTTGCCAGAGTAAAGCACACTCAGCATATCTATCAGATAAATCCTAAGAAGGTTTTAGAGAGGATCCCTTCTGAGCCTCTTTCTGCATATCAATGACTCAAAACTGGTTTGCCTGTTAGCTCCTTGAGAAAGAGGCCTTCCCTCCTGTCAACATGTCTCCAATTCCATAACACAAATCAAATGAAATCTTTATTTTGGTCATAGACCAGCATAAAAAGAGTAGAATGCAAACAAAAGCTGAAAAAAATATTTCTATTATTTCTATTCCTAGTTCATCCAAGCTACCTACATCTCTCCCTCATCTATCATCATTATATCATGACCTCTATCTATCTATCTATCTATCTATCTATCTGTCTGTCTGTCTGTCTGTCTGTCTGTCTGTCTGTCTGTCTGTCTGTCTGTCTGTCTGTCTGTCTATCTATCTATCATATATCTATCATCTATACAAAAACACAAACACCCATACTCAAACCTTTATAAAACCCTCTATTCCAAAAGTAGCTATATATACAGAATTACAGAATACAAACCCAGATGAGTTTTGCGAATGAGAAGGAAGGTCTACTAAGGTCCTTCTATTCTAGAACTTTGCCAGGTGAGGTTGTTGCCACCTACAAATAAGGACTTGAAATGCCTATAAAAGATTGGCAGGAAGGGAGTCTTACAATGAAAGAAGCGATATATCTTTAGTCAAGAAAGAAAGCCACTAAATAATGATTATTCATAATGAAATCTTATTTTAAAATATAATTGAATTATATTGTGTCTGAAATTTTTCAGGATCAAAAATGACACATTTCATTTTAAGAAACCGTAACCTCTCTGGCAGATTTTTTCCTTATCTTTCATCTCCATTATATTTATATAAATGTGCATGTCACAAAGAAAGATGCGTAAGCTAAATTACACATTTTTAAAAATTCCTTCAGTAAGACTTATTCCCAACAGTAATTATAATGAAATAAAAAGGAGCTATATCAATTAAAACATTTCCGGTAACCAAATGCTTCAATTGAAAAATACAGACATAGCAATACTTCCTGCTTCCATATCTTTTTTTTTAAGCACTTTGCTCAGTAAATTGTATCCATTCTGTATATTCTTAAGGAAATCATATTTTATGTTCCTAATAATCCTGTAGCATCAAATATTTTATATGCAGTATTTATGACCCTTCACAACTGGTCTTCCTTCATGGTTTTCTGCTTTTCTGGGCTGCCCTTCTCATCCTTGAAGACTCTTTGCAGAGCAACCTTGTATGATGCTCTGGGCTGATCCTTTCCTCTCTGCTTCCTCCCAATGAAAAAATAAAGGAGGGGGTTGATGCTGCTGTTGAGAGAGGCGCATCCTATCCCAATGGTCATGAGGAGGACATTATAGGTATCAAAATATTCAATGACATAAAAGACATTCATTGGGAGAGAAAAGAGGAGGAAGAAAAGAAGAGCTAGAAAAATGGTGGTGAGCAACTTTCTTTGACTGCGTTGCGATTTAGACCTCATGTGAATCCAGAGAGTCACAGTTGACACAACCATGAGAGGTGTACAAAGTAAACCATTCACAATCAACTGGTATAACAAAGGTGAACTTCCAAAAGCCTTGGTCTGGTGGAGAAGGAAGTGCACTGCAGAGAGCAGGAAGGAGAGGATCCAGATGAGGCCACAAACCAGGGTGGACAGATATGGAGGACGATGGCAGCGATGCCAGAGAGGGAAGAGGACAGCCACACACCTGTCCAGGCTGATGGCCGTCAGCAGAAACTGGCTAGCAGAATAGGTGAAGAAAAACAACTCAAAAAGTAGGAAGAAAATGGTATCAACGTGTGTTCTTTGACTCAGAATTAAGGCTGTCGAAAATATAGCTGCCATAATGAGGGATGCGAGGACCCCAAAGTCAGCAATGGAGAGATTCAGGATATAAGTGGTGAAAGAATTCCTCTTAATGGGAAAGGCCAGGAGATAAATGGTCTTTCCATTTCCCACCAGGCCTAAAATGCAAATAAGGGCAATGAACCCACTGATAAGATTTCGTGTTAAATTATCAAAGATCTGAGCATTAGGTGAAGAAAAAGTTTCTGGCATTTCAGAAATATTTAGAGCAATTTTAGTAGTATTGGAAGGAATGTTGGTCACTTCAGAACCACTCCCAGAAATTTCAGCAATATTAATCATCCTAATAACAAAAAGAGACAGAAAGAGAATCAGTCCTTGTTAGAGAAATACTACTTATATACTGTACATACATACATACACACACAAACGCACATACACACACAAATGCACATACACACACATGTACACTTTCACACACACAAACACACAGGCAGACACACAAACACATGCACAGACACACATTTTCTTACTTACACATATCAAGACATATCTCCTTTTTGGCCACCTGATGGCAATTACATCCCTAAAATTAAAGTTTCTTGCAAGGTTGGAGAATTGCTACACTCAATCGTGACCCAAGCTTCTATGCAAAATCCTTCAAAGTCCATTTCAGGACAACTGGAGCCAATTTCCTTTATTAGCCATTGTGGCTGAGGGCAGAGTAGGGTTACCTACTGGCAAACTGTGACCACGGACCAGGCATTGGGGACCCTTGCTTTAGAGAGTAAGGGATGACAAGTGTGCAAACAGGCACACAATGTGAAATGCCCTTTGAGAGGAACATGCTAGTACTAGCAGTTAGCTTTCAGTGTGTAATTGATTAAGATCTTGTCAATTTCAGGTCAGAGTTTGTTAACTTTAATAACTATACTTAGCATTTATTAGACAAAAGGTGTTTACTTTGGTACTCAAAACTCAAGACAATTTTAAACTCCATCTGTCGGTTGGAGGAAAGGAGGGCAACAAGTAGCACATGTCCTCCTTACGACAGATGTCTACTGACTGTAGGTTAGAGAAAGTTATGATCAAAGGTTCTGGAGATCGTGAGTTGATGGCCTTTTTCCCAAGCAAAGGAAAAAGGATGTGGGTGTATAGGTGAGATTTGTCATATGATCAAGAAAGTCCCATGGATTTCAACAAAGACCAACGAAGCGGAAATGTTCTCCTGATTATGTGAAGAGATTATATGTAGAGTTGAGCAACCTCCACCATAGAAGATTCCCTTCAAAAGAAAGGGATCCTGTTCCAGCAGGCACAAATGGGCTGAGCAACAAAGCAATTCTCCTTTCGGAATATCATGAAATTACTGGATGGCTAACTCCATTCCTGCAAAGAAAATGTTTTGTATCATAATACACTTACGAGTGGTATGTCTCCCAAATAAGATGGATTGATGCATTACCTAAGGAAGCAATAATAGTCAGTCATTGATTTGATCAATAACAGCAGGCAGAAAAATGCTAATGTGCTTTATAATCTTCATTCACATTGATTTCTTTCTTTCTGAATGGGAATCTCTGAATGTATAAATAAAAAAAATCCCCAATAGATGTCCCCCCCATCGTTGCCCAGACAGCTATTAGCCAATAATCAGTTTTTATGATCCTCTAATTACTTAACCTGATAATTAATTCAAAATAATTTTAAAAGTGCTCATTTAAAAAGTAAAGTATTTTCTCCACTCTTGTTTTTCCATCATTTTTAGAAATGCTTCTGTGCATCTAATCTTTCCCCCCTAATTAAAGAAGAACAAAGAGGTTGATTTTATCCCTTGTGTCCTTCCAAAGGACAATTCCAGGTTGACGTTGCCTGTAGGAAGTGACAGGTATCAGTGTGCTGATATTCTTAAATTCTCCGTAAGACTTACTACTTTATATGAATAAATCCATCAGAAGCCATTTTGTGAATGCACCCACTGAATGTTTTCAAAATGCCAATGCAATCCCCAACTCATGATTTGCTCCTAGAGTTTCAATTCTGGAATAAACTCACGAATCACTATGAACCCTTGAGGTTTTCTTTGTCAATAGTACCCACAAAGGAAAGGAAATGTGTTATGGAATATAGTTTTCATGCTTTTCATACCTCCTGAGTAATCAAATTGCTGCTCCATTGTGCAAAAAGTGTTTGCTTGCTTAGAAAAGTTCAAATTCGCGGATAAGGTGGACAACCTGGGGAAATACAATTATTAAAGGAAAACAAACTTCTGACCGTCAAAATGGCTGAAAGGAATTGTGTTGTTGGGGAATTCAAAGCCATTGTCGGTTTGCCATTCGTCCAAACAAGGGTAGTCCTTCCTACCTTTCAATCAAGCAATACAATTTATTTACAGTTCAAAACCAAAGGAATCAAAAGACCAGAAGACCAACAACCATTAAAAGGGAATTTTAAAAAATAAGATTTATTTTTTGGAAAGATGGCAGTTAACAATTAATAGCATGAGATTAGAAAAAAATTAACAATAGCAATAGCACTCTGTAGAGATGACCTGATGAAATAACTCATGGATTAAAAGAGTTAAACCTTTTTTTATGGATCTTAGTTATTAGCTGGGAGCAGCTGAATGAATAGATTTCCTTATCTTCAAATTTTGCTCTAAAACAAAATGCTCCAAACACTGTTTAAAATGCTTCCATGTTCCTAGCTGTTTCCTAGCAATTAGCACTTAGACGTGTATATCACTTCAAAGCACATTACAGCCGTCTCTAAGTGGTGTACAGAATCAGCCTATTGCCCCCAACAAATGAGGTCTTCATTTTACTGACCTTGGAAGGGTAGAAAGCTGAGTCAACCTTGGGTCGGTGAGAATCGAACTGCTGGCAGTCGGCAGAAATTAACCTATACTACTGCATTCTAACCACTGCTCCACACGGCTCTTCAATAACAACAACAATAACAACAACAAATATAATAATAGTTGGAAGGCACCTTGGAGGTCATCTAATCCAACTATTGTTCAGGCAGGAAACCCTATATCGTTTTAGACAAACGGCTGTCCAGTCTCTCCTTAAAAGCCTCCAGTGTTGGAGTATTCACAGCTTCTAGAGGCAGGTTGTTCCATTGATTTATTGTTCTAACTGTCCGGAGGTTTCTCCTTAGTTCTAGGTTGCTTTTCTCCTTGATTGGTTTCCATCATTGCTTCTTGTCCTGCCTTCAGGCGCTTTGGAGAATGGCTTGACTCCCTCCTCTTTGGGGCAGCCCCTGAGATATTGCAACTCTGCTATCAATTCCCCCCTCATCCTTCTCTTCATTAAACTAGACATACCCAATTCCAGCAACCGTTCCTTATATGTTTTAGCCTTCAGTCCCTAACCATCTTTGTTGCTCTTCTCTGTACTCTTTCTAGAGTCTCAACATCTTTTTTACATCGTGGTGACAAAAACTGGATGCAGTATTCCAAGCGTGGCCTTACCAGGCATTTTAAAGTGGTATTAACACTTCACATGATCTTGATTCTATACTTATTAAGATTGACTGAAGTCAGATATGAGAAGATTGTTATCATACCGTACTGGAAAAAAATGCTGCTCAATTGAGTTCCATCACAGGGCAGACGACACTACTGGATTAGGTGTTCCCATACTAATGGGGTCCTAGTCCTACTCTGGTCTCAAAAAGGAACATTTTGCAGATAATAAATGACCCCAACACAAACTCTGCCTTTACCGCAGACGTACCTGGTGATAATGGGAAGAATCTCAAATGGAAGCAGTTGGTCTCTTTGGGAATCTAAGGATGAGATCTTTTTCCAGTGAATCCCGTTACTTGGCACTTGATGCAGTTACAGTCAGAAAGAGGAACTGAGCTGGACCCAGCTGCAAACTTTCTGAGAGAAATAAGAATAACTTGTCTGATGTTCTTCTCTGAATTTTGCAACTTTGCAGAAAGCATGGAAAAGAAGCAGTTAGTGATATAGTCATATCTTAAAGAAGAATCAACCAAAATCTACCAGCCTGAGATGCAGATTAACATGGATTTCAAATTCCCGGAAACCAACCACTTAAAGGGAGAACATCTTATGGCAGCCTTTGTTAATTGTGACAACAATTTATATTTATTATTTGTTAAGTTTGTATGCTGCCTTTATCTCTATTAAGGTGACTCTGAGTGGCTTGTTAAGCTAATGTACAAGAAACAATGCAGGCTTCCACCATTTTGACCGTTTAGTCCTGTGTGCCAATCTTACTGGTGAGGATATATATGTAACCAAATGCAGTCTTTCTTCTGGTTGGTTCAACCAAACAGACAAAATCTGGAAGGACTTTTTTGTGTGTGTGTCTCGAAAGAGAAGATTCCTGAAGGGAGCAGTAGGTCCCCATGGCCTATGGGGAAGTTACTGGTGGGTCTCCTTCTTTCTACTTTCCTTTGACATTCTCGTAAAAAAATGTGGTGTCAGGAGCAAGGAACCAAGAAAGACACAGAGGTTTACTCAGATTAGTTTCTTTATTGTTGCTCATCCTTTGACAGAAATCTTGCCAGACTAGAGCACAGTATGCATATTTATTTTATATACTCTGTTGAAAGCTGCAGGAGGGTCCACCCTGTGCCTCTTCCTTCATTCCAAGGATTCTTCGTCGATGTGCCTATTACTCCTTGGTAAAGACCTCCTCCCTCCTGCAATAATGTACATCTCACCCCATATGATAAATCCGTAATAACTTCCCCTTATCCCATTAACCATAATGGATGAATATTAAAATGCATGAAAATGTAGGAGAAGTATAGGCAAAACTGGTGGAGAGGGAGAGTTAAGTAAATAATCAGCCTACAGTTGTTATGTCCCCCCAAATGAGCCATATTCAGCCCACCTTGAATTCCATTGATGTTTATCTGGCTCTGATTTGGATTGGAACTTTAGGTGACAAGATTCTTGTTTATAAGCTTGAGCAATCACTGCCTTACACCAGGGGTTGACTGTGAAGAAACTGCAACAGATGAACCCCAGGAGGCACCAAGCCAGGAAGAACCAGAAGCTTATTAGAAATAGGCACTATCAGAACAGCTTTGAGTTCAGATAGTGAAATAGGGCATCCAAACCCTGGGCCTCCGGGATTAGAGCAGAGAGCAAAGCCAAGAAGCTCAGTGAGGCTCCTTGCCAAGCAGAGATCAACTTAATAGAAAGAAGTGGCTGCAATCTGATTTAAGAGAGAATACTGACCAGTCCAGTTTTTGTGTTGGAAACAACTATTCCATGTCCTGCCCTGCTGCGTTGCTCTAGTGTTCTAGAATTGCAGTAGTAAGTCACAGTTATAATTAAATGAGGCACCATGTGACTCCTTGTTCAACAACAAGAATCCCAGCACTTCGAGTTGCAATTGTTAAATGATCGCTCAAGTCATTAAATTGAGAGAGTCCCAGGTAAGAATCATTCACCCCACCCATCTCACTTCCATCTATGTCAGTGGTTCTCAACCTGTGGGTTGGGACCCCATTTGAGTTCGAACAGCCATTTCACGGGGGTCACCAAACAACACAGTCTGCCATTTTTCCCCCTTTTCCTTAGCTGTGCTTCCTTAGCTGTGCTTCCTTAGTTGTGCTTCCTTAGCTTTTGAAAGCCAATAGAATAGACTCTCTTGAATAGAGTCTAATTCTATTGGCTTTCAAAAGGCAATAGGAATTGTCGAGGCTGTCTCTGTCCTGCTGAACCCGCCAAAAGTCCCATTCTGCAAATGGTGCTGCAAGTTGTCTGAGTGAAGGCGAGCTGACTGGAAGTTTCCACCCCTCCCTGCTGAGCAACTACTAAAAATGTAAGTAAAAAAGGGCCGGGGTGGGAGGTGGGTGCAGGGAGGGTTGCTGGCACGCATGGGGCCCGGTGGATGCCTTACCTCCCTTGGGCTGGGCCAGCTGGTGGCCCACCCGGTGGTCAGCTTGCGCCATCTCTGCCGCTTGCCAGCTACGCCTCTGCCGCTTGCCAGCTACACCCTACGCATGGGGCAGCACCACGCATGCGCGGTGCTCCTGGGCAGGGAAAGTCCTTGACTTACAATCAGTTGGGTAGTCCTCGATTTACGATCGGTTGGGGATCGCAGCATTAAAAAGGTTGAGAACCACTGATCTATGTTCTTTTGGACACATTGCACAATGACAGTAGCAGGGGCAGCTCCAGGTTTCACTACCACACAGGTGACCTTCAGCACCAAGAGCTGTTTTCAAGATGGCAATCCTTTCCTTCTGCATGTAGACTTCAGAAAAGAAAATAATTCTTGAAGAAAACAACAAGCTTCTAAGAATAGTTTCTTTATTGCTGTTTGTCAATAGACAGGAATCTTGCCAGAGTAAAGCATACTCAGCATATCTATCAGATAAATCCTAAGAAGGTTTTAGAGAGGATCCCTTCTGAGCCTATTTCTGCATATCAATGACTCAAAACTGATTTGCCTGTTAGCTCCTTGAGAAAGAGGCCTTCCCTCCTGCGAACATGTCTCCAATTCTGTAACACAAATCAAATGAAATATTTATTTTGGTCATAGACCAGCATAAAAAGGGTAGAATGCAAACAAAAGCTGAAAAATTATTTCTATTATTTCTATTTCTAGTTCTGCCTAGCTACCTACATCTCTATCTCTCCCTCATCTATCATCATTATATCATCACCTCTATCTATCTATCTATCTATCTATCTATCTATCTATCTATCTATCTATCTATCTAATATCTATCATCTATACAAATACAAATACGCAAACACCCATACTCAAACCTTTATAAAACCCTCTGTTCCAAAAGTTGCCATAAATACAGAATTACAGAATACAAACCCAGATGAGGTTTGGGAATGAGAAGGAAGGTCTACTAAGGTCCTTCTATTCTAGAACTTTGCCAGGTGAGGTTGTTGCCCCCAAAAATAAGGACTTGAAATGGCTATAAAAGATTGGCAGGAAGGGAGTCTTACAATGAAAGAAGTGATATATCTTTAGTCAAGATAGAAAGCCACTAAGTAATGATTATTCATAATGAAATCATATTTTAAAATATAATTGAATTATATTATGTCTGAAATTTTTCAGGATCAAAAATGACGCATTTCATTTCAAGAAACCGTAACCTCTCTGGCAGATTTTTCCCTTATCTTTCATCTCCATCATATTTATATAAATGTGCATGTCACAAAGAAAGATGCGTAAGATAAATTACACATTTTTAAAAATTCCTTCAGTAAGACTTATTCCCAACAGTAATAATAAGAAATAAAAAGGAACTATATCAACTAAAACATTTCCGGTAAACAAGTGCTACAGATTGTAAAATACAGACACAGCAATACTTCCTGCTTCCATATCTTTGTTTTTAAGCATTTTGCTCAATAAATTGTATCCATTCTGTATATTCTTAAGGAAATCATATTTTATGTCCCAAATAATCCTGTATCTTCAAATATTTTATATGCAGTATTTATGACCCTTCACAACTGGTCTTCCTTCATGGTTTGCTGCTCTTCTGGGCTGCCCTTCTCATCCTTGAAGACTCTTTGCAGAGCAACCTTGTATGATGCTCTGGGCTGGTCCTTTCCTCTCTGCTTCCTCCCAATGAAAAAATAAAGGAGAGGGTTGATGCTGCTGTTGAGAGAGGCGCATCCTATCCCCATGGTCATGAGGAGGAGATTATAGGTATCAAAATAATGAATGACATAAAAGACATTCATTGGGAGAGAAAAGAGGAGGAAGAAAAGAAGAGCTAGAAAAATGGTGGTGAGCAACTTTCTTTGACTGCGTTGCGATTTAGACCTCATGTGAATCCAGAGAGTCACAGTGGACACAACCATGAGAGGTGTACAAAGTAAACCATTCACAATCAACTGGTATAAGAAAGGTGAACTTCCAAAGGTCTTGGTCTGGTGGAGAATGAAGTGCACTGCAGAGAGCAGGAAGGAGAGGATCCAGATGAGGCCACAAACCAGGATGGACAGATATGGAGGACGATGGCAGCGATGCCAGAGTGGGAAGAGGACCGCCACACACCTGTCCAGGCTGATGGCCGTCAGCAGAAACTGGCTAGCAGAATAGGTGAAGAAAAAGAGCTCAAAAAATAACAAGAAAAAGGTATCAACCACATATGTTCTTTGATTCAGAGTTAAGACGATCACAAATATTTCTGTCATAATGAGGGATGCGAGGACCCCAAAATCAGCCATGGAGAGATTCAGAATGAAAGTGGTGAAAGAATTCCTCTTAATGGAAAAGGCCAGGAGGTAAATGGTCCTTCCATTTCCCACCAGGCCTAAAATGCAAATAAGGACAATGAACCCATCGATAAGATTTCGTGTTAAATTATCGAACAGTTGATCATTAGGAAAAGGAAGGAATTCTTGTACTGTAGAAATATTTGGAGCAATTAAGGTCTCCTGACCTATCCTAATAACAAAAAGAGACAGAAAGAGAATCAGTCCTTGTTAGAGAAATAAATACACATATATAGTACATACATACACCCATACAAACACACATATATACACACAGATACACAAACACACACACACACAAACACACGCACACAAACATTTTCTTAACTTACACATATCAAGAGATATCTGCTTTTGGACCGCCTGATGGTAATTACTTCCCTAAAATTAAAGTTTCTTGCAAGGTGGAGAATTGCTACAATCAATTGTGATCCAAGTTTCTATGCAAAATCCCTCAAAGTCTATTTCAGGACAACTGACATCAATTCGCTTTATTAGCCATTGTGGCTGAGCGCAGAGTAGGGTTACCTGGTATTTGAACAGGTAGAAGGGCAACACAAACAATTGGAAAGGAGAAGAAATGTAGGGGGAAGATGCACCAATCATTTAATATTTACATTCTTTAGAATAACGGCCCCAACCTTCTGGGCACCAGGGGTTTTTCTGTGGACTGGGGGGGGGGAGTGGTTTTGTGCGTTGCCTGCATCCTGCAGATGGGTCTTCGCTTGTTTGTGCAGCCCAGTTTCTGGCAAGCTGTGGCTACGGACCAGACGTTGGGGACCCCTGCTTTACAGAGTAATGGATGACAAGTGTGTAAACAGGCACACAATGTGAAATGCACTTTGAGAGGAACATGCTAGTACTAGCAGTTAGCTGTCAGTGTGTAATTGATTAAGATCTTGTCAGTTTCAGTCAAAGTTTGTTAACTCCAATAACTATAGTTAGCATTTATTAGAGAAAAGCTGTTTACTTCGGTACTCAAAAAGTCAGACAATTTTAAACTCCATCTGTCGGTTGGAGGAAACGAGGGCAACAAGTAGCACATGTCCTCCTTATGACAGATGTCTACTGACTGTAGGTTAGAGAAAGTTATGATCGTGAGTTGATGGCCTTTTTCCCAAGCAAAGGAAAAAGGATGTGGGCCCATAGGTGAGATTTGTCATATGATCAAGAAAGTCCCATGGATTTCAACAAAGACCAACGAAGCGGAAATGTTCTCCTGATTACGTGAAGAGATTATATGGAGAGTTGAGCAACCTCCACCATAGAAGATTCCCTTCAAAAGAAAGGGATCCTTTCCCAGCAGGCACAAATGGACTGAGCAACAAAGCAATTCTCCTTTTGGAATATCATGAAACAACTGGATGGCTAACTCCATTCCTGCAAAGAAAATGTTTTGTATCATAATACCCTTACCAGTGGTATGTTTCCCAAATATCAGAGTAGTCATATATATCTTGGATTGATGCATTACCTATATCATATTCATATATATCTTGGATTGACACATTACCTAAGGAAGCAATAATAGTCAGTCATTAATTTGATCAATAACAGCAGGCAGAAAAATGCTAATGTGCTTTACAAACTTCATCCACATTGATTTCTTTCTTTCTGAATGGGAATCTCCGAATGTATAAATAAAATCATCCCCAATAGATGCCCCCCCATCGTTGCCCAGATAGCTATTAGCCAATAACCAGTCTTTGTGATCCTCTAATTACTTAACCTGATAATTAATTCAAAATAATTTTAAAAGTGCTCATTTTAAAAAGAAAAGTATTTTCCCCACTCTTGTTTTTCCATCATTTTTAGAAATGCTTCTGTGCGTCTAATCCCCGCCCCCCAATTAAACAAGAAAAAAGAGGTTCATTTCGTCCCTTGTGTCATTCCAAAGGACAATTCCAGGTTGACGTTGCCTGTAGGAAGTGACAGGTATCAGTGTGTTGATATTCTTAAATTCTCCGTAAGGCTTACTACTGTATAGGAATAATTCCATCAGAAGCCATTTTGTGAATGCACCCACTGAACGTTTTCAAAATGCCAATGCAATCCCCAACTCATGATTTGCTCCTAGAGTTTCAATTCTGGAATAAACTGACGAATCAATATGAACCCTTGAGGTTCTCGTTATCAATAGTACCCACAAAGGAAAGTAAATGTGTTATGGAATATAGTTTTCATGCTGTTCATACCTCCTGAGTAATCAAATTGCTGCTCCATTGTGCAAAAAGTGTTTGCTTGCTTAGAAAAGTTCAACTTCGTGGATAAGGTGGACAACCTGGGGAAATACAATTATTAAAAGAAAAGAAACGTCTGACCCTCAAAATGGCTTAAAGGAATTGTGTTCTTGGGGAATTCAAAGCCATTGTCGGTTTGCCATTCGCCCAAAACAAGGATAGCCCTTCCTACCTTTCAATCAAGCAATACAATTTATTTACAATTCAAAACCAAAGGAATCAAAAGACCAGAAGACCAACAACCATTAAAAGGGAATTTTAAAAAATAAGATTTTTTTTCCGGAAAGATAGCAGTTAACAATTAATAGCATGATTTTAGAAAAAAAATTAACAATAGCAATAGCACTCTGTAGAGATGACCTGATGAAATAACTCATGGATTAAAAGAGTTAAACCTTTTTTTATGGATCTTGCTTATTAGCTGGGAGCAGCTGAATAAACAGATTTCCTTATCTTCAAATTTTGCTCTAAAACAAAATGCTCCAAACATTGTTTAAAATCCTTCGATGTTCCTAGCTGTTTTATAGCAATTAACACTTAGACGTGTACACTACTTCATAGCACTTTACAGCCGTCTCTAAGTGGTGTACAGAATCAGCCTATTGCCCCCAACAAATGAGGTCTTCATTTTACTGACCTTGGAAGGATAGAAAGCTGAGTCAACCTTGGGTCGGTGAGAATCGAACTGCTGGCAGTTGGCAGAATTAATCTATACTACTGCATTCTAACCACTGCTCCACCACGGCTCTTCAATAACAACAACAACAACAATAATAATACTTGGAAGGCACCTTGGAGGTCATCTAATCCAACCATTGTTCAGGCAGGAAACCCTATTTCATTTTAGACAAATGGCTGTCCAGTCTCTCCTTAAAAGCCTCCAGTATTGGAGCATTCACAGCTTCTAGAGGCAGGTTGTTCCATTGATTTATTGTTCTAACTGTCCGGAGGTTTCTCCTTAGTTCTAGGTTGCTACTCTCATTGATTGGTTTCCATCCTTGCTTCTTGTCCTGCCTTCAGGCGCTTTGGAGAATGGCTTGACTCCCTCTTCTTTGGGGCAGCCCCTGAGATATTGGAACTCTACTATCAATTCCCCCCTCATGCTTCTCTTCATTAAACTAGACATACCCAATTCCAGCAACCGTTCCTTATATGTTTTAGCCTTCAGTCCCCTAATCATCTTTGTTGCTCTTCTCTGTACTCTTTCTAGAGTCTCAACATCTTTTTTTACATCGTGGTGACCAAAACTGGATGCCGTATTCCAAGTGTGGCCTTACCAAGGCATTGTAAAGTGGTATTAACACTTCAAATGATCTTGATTCTATACTAATTAAGATTAACTGAAGTCATATATGAGAAGATTGTTATCATACCTTACTGAAAAAAAATGCTGCTCAATTGAGTTCCATTATGGGGCAGAAGACACTACTGGATTAGCTGATCCCATACTAATGGGCTCCTAGTCCTACTCTGGTCTCAAAAAGGAACATTTTGCAGATAATAAATGACCCCAACACAAACTCTGCCTTTACTGCAGACGTACCTGGTGATAATGGTCTGGATGGTCTCTTTGGGGATCTAAGGATGAGATCTTTTTCCAGTGAATCCTGTTAGTTGGCAATTGATGCAGTTACAGTCAGAAAGAGGAACTGAGCTGGACCCAGCTGCAAACTTTCTGAGAGAAATAAGAATAAGTTGTCTGATGTTCTTCTCTGAATATCGCAACTTTGCAGAAAGGATGGCAAAGAAGCAGTTAGTGATATAGTCATATCTTAAAGAAGAATCAACCAAAATGTACCAGCCTGAGATGCAGATTAACATGGATTTCAAATTCCTGGAAACCAACCACTTAAAGGAAGAACATCTTATGGCAGCCTTTGTTAATTGTGACAACAATTTATATTTATTATTTGTTAAGTTTGTATGCTGCCTATATCTCCATTAAGGTGACTCTGAGTGGCTTGTTAAGCTAATGTACCAAGAAACAATGTAGGCTTCCACCATTTTGACCATTTAGTCCTGTCTGCCAATCTTACTGGTGAGGATATATATGTAACCAAATGCAGTCTTTATTCTGGTTGGTTCAACCAAACAGACAAAACTTGGAAGGACTTTTTTGTGTGTGTGTCTGGAAGGAGAAGATTCCTGAAGGGAGCAGTAGGTTCTCATGGCCTATGGAGAAGATACTGGTGGGTCTCCTTCTTTCTACTTTCCTTTGAAATTCTCTTAAAAACATGGTGGTGTCAGGAACAAGGAACCAAGAAAGACACAGAGGTTTACTCTGATCAGTTTCTTTATTGTTGCTCACCCATTGACAGGAATCTTGCCAGACTAGAGCACAATATGCATATCTATTTTATATACTCTGTGAAAGGCTGCAGGAGGGTCCACCCTGTGCCTCTTCCTTCATTCCAAGGATTCTTGGTCAATGTGCCTTTTACTCCTTGGCAAAAAACCCTTCCCTCCTGCGATAATGTACATCCCACCCCATATGGTAAATCTGTAATAACTTTCCCTTATCCCATTAACCATAATGGATGAATATTAAAATGCATGAAAATGTAGGAGAAGTATCAGTAAAGCTGGTGGAGAGTGAGAGTTAAGTAAATAATCAGCCTAGAGTTGTTATGTCCCCAAAATGATCCATATTCAGCCCACCTTGAATTCCATTGATGCTTATCTGGCTCTGATTTGGATTGGAACTTTAGGTGAGAAGATTCTTGTTTATAAGCTTGTGCAATCACTGCCTTACACCAGGGGTTGGACTCTGACTCTGAAGAAACTGCAACAGATGAACCCCAGGAGGCACCAAGCCAGGAAGAACCAGAAGCTTATTAGAAATAGGCACTATCAGAACAGCTTTGAGTTCAGATAGTGAAATAGGGCCTCCAAACCCTGGGCCTCCGGGATTAGAGCAGAGAGCAAAGCAAAGAAGCTCAGTGAGGCTCCTTGCCAAGCAGAGATCAACTTAATTGAAACAAGTTGCTGCAATCTAATTTAAGCGAGAGTGCTGACCAGTTGAGTTTTTGTGTTGGAAACAACTATTCCATGTCCTGCCCTGCTGCGTTGCTCTAGTGTTCTAGAATTGCAGTAGCAAGTCACAGTTATAATTAAATGACGCACCAAGTGACTCCTTGTTCAACAACAAGAATCCCAGCACTTCGAGTTGCAATTGTTAAATGATCGCTCAAGTCATTAAATTGAGGGAGTCCCAGGTAAGAATCATTCACCCCACCCATCTCACTTCCATCTATGTTCTTTTGGACACATTGCACAATGACAGTAGCAGGGGCAGCTCCAGGTTCCACTACCACACAGGTGACCTTCAGCACCACGGGCTGTTTTCAAGATGGCAATCCTTTCCTTCTGCATGTAGACTTCAGAAAAGAAAACAATTCTTGAAGAACACAACAAGCTTCTAAGAATAGTTTCTTTATTGCTGTTTGTCAATAGACAGGAATCTTGCCAGAGTAAAGCACACTCAGCATATCTATCAGATAAATCCTAAGAAGGTTTTAGAGAGGATCCCTTCTGAGCCTCTTTCTGCATATCAATGACTCAAAACTGGTTTGCCTGTTAGCTCCTTGAGAAAGAGGCCTTCCCTCCTGTCAACATGTCTCCAATTCCATAACACAAATCAAATGAAATCTTTATTTTGGTCATAGACCAGCATAAAAAGAGTAGAATGCAAACAAAAGCTGAAAAAAATATTTCTATTATTTCTATTCCTAGTTCATCCAAGCTACCTACATCTCTCCCTCATCTATCATCATTATATCATGACCTCTATCTATCTATCTATCTATCTATCTATCTGTCTGTCTGTCTGTCTGTCTGTCTGTCTGTCTGTCTGTCTGTCTGTCTGTCTGTCTGTCTGTCTATCTATCTATCATATATCTATCATCTATACAAAAACACAAACACCCATACTCAAACCTTTATAAAACCCTCTATTCCAAAAGTAGCTATATATACAGAATTACAGAATACAAACCCAGATGAGTTTTGCGAATGAGAAGGAAGGTCTACTAAGGTCCTTCTATTCTAGAACTTTGCCAGGTGAGGTTGTTGCCACCTACAAATAAGGACTTGAAATGCCTATAAAAGATTGGCAGGAAGGGAGTCTTACAATGAAAGAAGCGATATATCTTTAGTCAAGAAAGAAAGCCACTAAATAATGATTATTCATAATGAAATCTTATTTTAAAATATAATTGAATTATATTGTGTCTGAAATTTTTCAGGATCAAAAATGACACATTTCATTTTAAGAAACCGTAACCTCTCTGGCAGATTTTTTCCTTATCTTTCATCTCCATTATATTTATATAAATGTGCATGTCACAAAGAAAGATGCGTAAGCTAAATTACACATTTTTAAAAATTCCTTCAGTAAGACTTATTCCCAACAGTAATTATAATGAAATAAAAAGGAGCTATATCAATTAAAACATTTCCGGTAACCAAATGCTTCAATTGAAAAATACAGACATAGCAATACTTCCTGCTTCCATATCTTTTTTTTTAAGCACTTTGCTCAGTAAATTGTATCCATTCTGTATATTCTTAAGGAAATCATATTTTATGTTCCTAATAATCCTGTAGCATCAAATATTTTATATGCAGTATTTATGACCCTTCACAACTGGTCTTCCTTCATGGTTTTCTGCTTTTCTGGGCTGCCCTTCTCATCCTTGAAGACTCTTTGCAGAGCAACCTTGTATGATGCTCTGGGCTGATCCTTTCCTCTCTGCTTCCTCCCAATGAAAAAATAAAGGAGGGGGTTGATGCTGCTGTTGAGAGAGGCGCATCCTATCCCAATGGTCATGAGGAGGACATTATAGGTATCAAAATATTCAATGACATAAAAGACATTCATTGGGAGAGAAAAGAGGAGGAAGAAAAGAAGAGCTAGAAAAATGGTGGTGAGCAACTTTCTTTGACTGCGTTGCGATTTAGACCTCATGTGAATCCAGAGAGTCACAGTGGACACAACCATGAGAGGTGTACAAAGTAAACCATTCACAATCAACTGGTATAACAAAGGTGAACTTCCAAAAGCCTTGGTCTGGTGGAGAAGGAAGTGCACTGCAGAGAGCAGGAAGGAGAGGATCCATATGAGGCCACAAACCAGGGTGGACAGATATGGGGGACGATGGCAGCGATGCCAGAGTGGGAAGAGGACAGCCACACACCTGTCCAGGCTGATGGCCGTCAGCAGAAACTGGCTAGCAGAATAGGTGAAGAAAAAGAGCTCAAAAAATAACAAGAAAAAGGTATCAACCACATATGTCCTTTGATTCAGAGTTAAGACGGTGACAAATATTTCTGTCATAATGAGGGATTATCGAACAGTTGATCATAAGGAAAAGGAAGGAATTCTTGTATTGCAGAAATATTAGGAGCAATTAAGGTCTCCTGATCTATCCTAATAACAAAAAGAGACAGAAATAGAATCAGTCCTTCTTAGAGAAATAAATACATATATATATAGTACATACATACACCCATACAAAGACACATATATACACACAGACACACAAACACACACACAGAAACATTTTCTTAACTTACACATATCAAGAGATATCTGCTTTTGGACCGCCTGATGGCAATTACATCCCTAAAATTAAAGTTTCTTGCAAGGCTAGCAGAATAGGTGAAGAAAAACAACTCAAAAAGTAGGAAGAAAATGGTATCAACGTGTGTTCTTTGACTCAGAATTAAGGCTGTCGAAAATATAGCTGCCATAATGAGGGATGCGAGGACCCCAAAATCAGCAATGGAGAGATTCAGGATATAAGTGGTGAAAGAATTCCTCTTAATGGAAAAGGCCAGGAGATAAATGGTCTTTCCATTTCCCACCAGGCCTAAAATGCAAATAAGGGCAATGAACCCACTGATAAGATTTCGTGTTAAATTATCAAAGATCTGAGCATTAGGTGAAGAAAAAGTTTCTGGCATTTCAGAAATATTTAGAGCAATTTTAGTAGTATTGGAAGGAATGTTGGTCACTTCAGAACCACTCCCAGAAATTTCAGCAATATTAATCATCCTAATAACAAAAAGAGACAGAAAGAGAATCAGTCCTTGTTAGAGAAATACATACTTATATACTGTACATACATACATACACACACAAACGCACATACACACACAAATGCACATACACACACATGTACATTTTCACACACACAAACACACAGGCAGACACACAAACACATGCACAGACACACATTTTCTTACTTACACATATCAAGACATATCTCCTTTTCGGCCGCCTGATGGCAATTACATCCCTAAAATTAAAGTTTCTTGCAAGGTTGGAGAATTGCTACACTCAATCGTGACCCAAGCTTCTATGCAAAATCCTTCAAAGTCCATTTCAGGACAACTGGAGCCAATTTCCTTTATTAGCCATTGTGGCTGAGGGCAGAGTAGGGTTACCTGATATTTGAACAGGCTTGTTTGCGTGACCCCGTTTCTGGCAAACTGTGACCACGGACCAGGCATTGGGGACCCTTGCTTTAGAGAGTAAGGGATGACAAGTGTGCAAACAGGCACACAATGTGAAATGCCCTTTGAGAGGAACATGCTAGTACTAGCAGTTAGCTTTCAGTGTGTAATTGATTAAGATCTTGTCAATTTCAGGTCAGAGTTTGTTA